GGGTGCAAGCTGCAGCATCATCGCATCCCACCGCTGCACCGGAGGGCCTGGCTAGCCTCCGTCTGTATCGAATCATAGACTGGTTTGGGATGGAAGGGATCTTGAAGACCGTCTCATTCCAACCCCCTGCCCTGGGCAGGGCCACCTCCCCCCAGCCCAGGTTGCTCCAAGCCCCGTCCAACCTGGCCTTGAACACCTCCAGGGATGGGGCAGCCACAGCTTCTCGGGGCAACCTGCCCCAGGGGATCACCACCGTGGCATCATCTTGTGCCATCGCTCACCCTCAAATCCTTTGCAGCGAGGTAATACGGGCTATTGCCACGCTGAGCTTTAGCTCTTGGGGAGGCGGAGGGCTTTTTGGCTCAGATACCATCTTAATCTCTCAGCGCCGCGGTTTGCTCCTGCAGCAGCTCCCGACCTTGGTGAACGTGTTCGCAGCCGTAAAGGGACACGGGTGGCAATAGGCCAGCTGGAAACGCTGCGTAGTTCCTTGCACGGTGAGGGGTTGCGTGCCACCAGCAGTTTTTGTGGTGAGCGCCGTAGCAGCCCTTGGTCCGGGTGGGCGCCAGCGAGGAGCAGCTCCGAGGGATGGATGAGCTGGGGGTGGATGCAGGTGGACTTTCCAAAATCAACCAAACCCCTTTCCACCCTGTGCCGGGAGGTGGGCGCCGGGTCGGGGGTCTGGCTGAGGTCTTTGCCCATCGCCGTTCCTTAGTTTTGGGACTGAATTTCGAAGATGAGTGGGGCCACCGAAGCTGGGTACCATCCGGCTGCCCTCCGCAGTCTGGAGAAAGCGGTTTTGCGCCGTTTTTCTCCGTGTCCTGCATCAGGCACGCCGGCGGGACGGGGCTTCGCTCCGGCTCCATCCCCAGCTGAGCGTGGGCATCCCCGGTAGGGACAGAGCCCCACAGTCGCCCTGGTGCCGCCAAAAACGCCGGGGCGCTGCATGTGTGCCGCTTCCATGTGCGCTGGTTTCCAAGGAAACCGCTCGCTCTACATGTGTGTCGCTTAACACCCTATTTGCTTTCATTTGGATAAGTCTTTAATTCCTGTGCAGCCCCGGCTCCGCGGGATCTGTTGAGCCGCGTGCGTATCCTCGGCACACAAATCCCTCTCCTGCCTGCCTGCCGCTCCAAAACTCCCTGCCTGCTCGGAGCAAGTTTCCTAAACCTGTGGCTAATCGGAGTGGCTGATGCTTTTTCTACCGTGCTAACTGGATATATCGCCGCTGCTTCCCTCTAGAAACAATTAGCAGGGAAAACATGCCGCGCGGCGCTGCTGTCATCTGCCACCAGCTCTGCTGCTTTGGCTCCGTTTCGGGTGTCGAGGCAGGGCAGGACGCCTGCGCCCGGGGACACGGCGTGCGATGCCGGGGAGGGGGGGAATGCTCCAGCTGCACCGCCGGGAACAGAGTGTCATAGAACCATGGTGTGGTTTGGGTTGGAAGGGAGCTTGGAGACCACCCAGTTCCACCCCCTGCCCTGGGCAGGGACACCTCCCACCAGCCCAGGTTGCTCCAAGCCCCGTCCAACCTGGCCTTGAAGTAGCTCGTTGCAATAGTTAAATGCTTATTAAATAGTTAAATGCTAATTGCAAAGTGCCCTGGTGAGTGGAACGGCTGAGGAGCGGGAAAGGGACCCTTGGAAGGGCGACGAACCTTGGAAGGGTGATGACCCTTGGAAGGGTGATGACCCTTGGAAGGGTGATGAGCCTTGGAAGGGTGACCCTTGGAAGGGTGACAAGCCTTGGAAGGGTGATGATCCTTGGAAGGGTCACGACCCTTGGAAGTGTGATGAGCCTTGGAAGGGTGACCCTTGGAAAGGTGATGACCCTTGGAAGGGTGACAAGCCTTGGAAGGGTGACGATCCTTGGAAGGGTGACAATCCTTGGAAGGGTGACGACCCTTGGAAGGGTGACGACCCTTGGAAGGGTGATGAGCCTTGGAAGGGTGACACTTGGGAGGATGACCCTTGGAAGGGTGACCCTTGGAAAGGTGATGACCCTTGGAAGGGTGACAAGCCTTGGAAGGGTGACCCTTGGAAGGGTGGTGGCCCTTGGAAGGGTGACACTTGGGAGGATGACCCTTGGAAGGGTGACAAGCCTTGGAAGGGTGACCCTTGGAAGGGTGGTGGCCCTTGGAAGGGTGACACTTGGGAGGATGACCCTTGGAAGGGTGACGAGCCTTGGAAGGGTGACCCTTGCATGAGTCTGGTGATGTCCCCATTGGCGTGACACTGGTGGGACACACCAGGTCCCCCGCACCAGCAGCTCCTCCGTGCTGAGCAGAAAAAGGGTGTCAAGGTGTTGAGGGTGCTTCGTTACCCCAAATTTTCAGCTGTGGGTGACCCGAAATGGCTTTTCCTTCCCTTCCTCCCTTCCCTCTGCAAAGTAAGACACCGCCGGTTCCTCTGCACGGGAGGGCTGAGGAATTTTCTGCTCTAAACCCACTTTCCTCCTCTCCAAAAATCCCTGGGGCTGGTTCATGCGTGTAAAGCCGAGCAGCTCCCGTGTCACTGCTGCCTGGCTCCTGCCGGAGCCCTGCCGGCAGCTAATGCTGTTAGCCTGTGTCGAGGAGGGATTGCAGCATTAAAAAAAGAAAAAAAAAAATCAAATAAATAAATCACTAAAATCACCAGCGCTCGGGGCTGCTCTGCTGCTTCCAACCAGAGCCGGCGAAAAAACCACCTACCCTGCGTTTGGGGTACGCAGCCCCGCTGGGGGGACACCAGTTGGAGGGTTTGCTCGTTTTGGGGGGTGATTTTGGGGGGGGAGGGCGGGTGCGTGCCGGTGCCACG